CAGAAATGTGCTCTCAAAGTGACAACTGACCTTTTAGAAGACTCGAGAAGGTGGAATGTGTTCTTAAGTAAAAGGTAGAAAATTAAGGTATCTAAATTTAGCAAAAAGAAGACTTAGCAACTCTATACCCCTTACTTTTCCACATGTAGACCTCTTTCTATTATATAAACAAAAGGAAGAGAAATTGAGTCGCAACTGACTCAACAGCACTTAACAACACCAACAGTCCTGGTGGTAAGCAGCCCTGGTAGTGGGTTACAGGTTGGGATGCTATAACTGCAAGGTCACCTGCTTGAATCTAACAACTGCTCCACAGGAAAAAGATGAAGCTTTCTACTCCCATAAAGATTTACAGCCTTGGATATCCTACACAAGGTCACTATCAGTTGGAACCGACTCAATAGCACACAATTACTACCACCACCAGTCCTGGTGGTGCAACAGTTAACAAAACAGCTGCTCACCAAAAGGTTGGTGGTTCAAAACCACCCAGTGGATCCTTGGAAAAAAATCTGGTGATCTGCTCCCATAAAGAACGCTATTGTTAAGTGCTGTTGAGTAAGTTCTGACTCATAGCAACCCTATGCACAATAAAACACCGTCTGGTCCTGTGCCACCCTCACAATTGTTACGTTTGAGTCCACTGTTGCTGCCACTGTGTCAGTCTATCTTGTTGGGGGTCGTCCTCTTTTTTGCTGACCCTCCACTTTCCTAAGCATGATGTCCTTCTCCAGGGTCTGGTTCCTCCTGATAACATGTCCAAAGTACAAGAGACAAAGTCTTGCTCTTCTTGCTTCTAAGGAGTTTTCTGTTTGTACTTCTTTCAACACAGATTTGTTTGTTCTTCTGACAGTCTGTGGTACTTTCAACATTCTTTTCCAATATCATAATTCAAATGGGTTGATTCTTCTAAGTCTTCTTTATTCATTGTCCAACTTTCACATGCATATGAGGCTACTGAAAATACTATGGTTTGGGTCATGCACACCTTAGTCCTCAAACTTACATGTTTGCTCTTCAACACTTTAAAGAGGTCTCATGCAGCAGATTTGCCTTAATGCAACCTGTTGTCTGGAGTCCTGCTGTGACACTGTAGGATAAGCATTCAACCACAAGGTTGGCTTGGACTGAGAAGTCAGAAGTTCAAATTTACCAGTGACTCCTCGGAAACCGTTTAAACAGTTGCTATGAGTCAGAACCAACTCAACAGCACTTAGCAACAATATATTGTTTGATTTCTTGACTGCTGCTTTCTTGAGTGTTGATTTTGGATAAAAGCAAAATAAAATCTTTGACCACTTCCATCTTTTCTCCATTTATCATGATGTTATTGACTGGTCCAGTGGGGAGGAGTTTTTTTTGTTGTTGTTGTTGTTGTTTTTTAAATTGAGATGCAATCCATACTGATGGCTGTAGTCTTTGATCGTCATCAGTAAATATTATAAAGTCCTCTTCATTCCCAGCAAGCAAGATCACATCATCTATATACCCAAAGTTGTTAATGAGTTTTCCTCCAATGCTGATGCCGTATTCTTCTTTATATAATACAGTTTCTTAGATTATTTGCTCAGCACATAGACTGAATAAGTATAGTGAAAAGATGCAACCCTAGTGCTCACCTTTCTTGATTTTAAACCAAGTAGTATAGCATAGTGGTTACGAATCGGGCTGCTAATCTCAAGGTCAGCAGTTCGAAACTACCAGCAGTTCTGTGGGAGAAAGATGAGGTTTTCTGCTCCTTGGAAACCCTGTGCAGGGTTGCTATGGGTCGGAACTGACTCAACAGCACTTAACAACAACAACAGTATTCCCTTGTTCTGTTTGAAGTAAACGTTCCAGCCTAGAAAATGACACGGGGCAGTATACGCTGTCACATGGAGTTGCTATGAGTTGGAATTAAGTTGGTGGCACCCAAGAGCAACAAATAGTCCTTCTACTGTTAAGTGCTGTCGAGTTGGTTCCTACCCATAGGAACCCTGTATATGTTTCCAAAGAGTAGCTGGTGAGTTTGAACTGCTGATCTTGCGGTTCACAGTCCAGTGCTACACCAGAGCTTCTTATTATTTAGGATGGAGAATTGAGGTGGGCTAAGATTTGGAAGAAGTGAAGAGAACTATGTATGTGTATCTATAAATACGCAAAAGTTTATATTAATATCAATTAAATGTGTAATCAAAGTGATTTGCAAATCCAGGATCCAAACAGTAAACAGGATGTGTAATGTTGATAGGGCAAATACTTGAGCTTTAATACAAATACAGAAACTAAGCCTAAAGAAAAGATTTGCATGAAAACTTCAAACAAACATTTCCCAAATAGCTATTTATGTATTTTTACCCCTAAATGTAGCATAGTGGTTACAAATTGGGCTACGAACCTCAAGGTCAGCAGTTTGAAACTACCAGTTGTTCCACGGGAGAAAGATGAGGCTTTCGGCTTCCATGAAGATTTACAGCCTCAGAAACCTTGTACAGGGTCGATATGAGTCGGAACCAACTCCACAGCACATAACAACAACAACATGTGCATAAACAATAAGAAATGTTCAAAGTTTAGGGAAATTGGAAAACCCTTAGGAAAACTGTAATGGACTCTAATGTGATGATTAAAAAAAAAATGTATTTTAGAATTTTTTTTTCTTCTCTTAAATGAATGTTTTGCAGAAAATAAGAAGATTGCCACCAAAGCAGAGAGGCGAACTTTGAAAACAAGCCTCAAAAAGGCCTCAGATTACTTCCTTGGGTAAGTTACTTGATTGCTGTGTGCCTCAGTTTACTCTTATATACCTGTGAAATGATGCACATAATGGGCACACAGAAAGCACTCGGTAAATGTTTCCCATTATTTTGTGATGTTTTTTCTCCTTTGATAAGTCAAGCAACATGTAATATGAGCTATATTTTTTTTGCCTTCAATTGTGAGGGAAAAAATATTCCACAACCTCTGGAGAGATTCTTGGTATTAGAAGGTGCCCTGAAAAGTTGATTGGAATAGATGAAGATACTGTTTCTTTTACTTTGAGTAAGCAGAAGCGTTGACAATTTTGGCAGTGCTTAGTGGAACCACCATCAGGAAAGTGTCCTTCGGTTGACAGCTTTTGGAACTCGAGCGTGTTTTTCTCATTTCTGTTTAGTGGTGAAACTGATAAAAATGACGCAACAAATAACTTGAGTGGGCAGCGGCACCCATACCCTGATGTCAATTCTGTACGAGGGACACCTGGGCACAATTGCTGATTATTAGTCGAAGAATGGCGGTCAGGCAGGCACCTGAAGGCTTCTGACTCATAGTGACCCTGCATGGGGTTTCCGAGATTGTAAATCTTCACAGGAGTAGAAAGTCTCATTTTTTCCCCCCATGGAACCGCTGGTAGTTTCGAACTGCTGACCGTGAGGTTAGCAGCCCGACTCGTAACCACTACATGCTACCAGAGGTCCTTCCTGAAGGCTGCACACGTTTTAAACTGAAACAAAAATATTTTCTTTTCGGAATGAGGTCCTCTTTTGCTGGTTCATTTGTTTTGTTGTTACTGTTAAGTGCCATCGAGTTGGTTCTCACTCATTGCTAACCTGTATAGGGTTTCCGAGGCTTTAAATCTTTGCAGGAGCTGAAAATCTCATCTTTCTCCCGCAAAGTGGTTGGCGGGTTCAAACTGTGGACCTTGTGGTTTAGCAGTCCAGAGCTTATCAGTTCGTATGTTTTGGGGTGAGTTAAATATGTGGAGAAAAGGCAGCCTGGTCAGAGGTATTACTATAATGGACATCGTTTTCCAAACCCTTTCCATCCTCGCCATTATTTTCTGCGACATAAACCCAGTCCACCACTTCCTACTTGTTTCCTTGACTTCACTTTTTTGAAAAGTGGTTACAAATAAATGGCGCTTGCACCACTATCTGAAAGTTCCTCCAAGCAAACAGAAGGCGACGGAAACAGAGTGTTCTGAGAGGTACTACAAACACGATAACAAAAACTGCCACGGATTGAGCCCTCCCTCGGCTCCAGCCTAATGCTAAGGAATGCGGGCACAGGGCTGGCTCCTCGCCCGCCAGACGCGGAAGGAGCGAACCCCGGGGAAGTCAATCCGAAACAGAAGGCTCTGTCCGTGCGATGCGGCGCTCTTCCCCTCTCCGCGCCTCGGAACATTTCTGGCCGTACAGAACCGAGATCCCGGCCAGCGCCCAACAGGAAACCCCGCAGAGGAATTTCGGCAGTCGACAGCCACATAAACAAGTTCCAAGCAGGGCAGTGAAACACCCTTTGGAGTCCTGGCAGTTTAACGCTCTAATAAGAGTGAACACCGGCGCAGATGCCTTATTCACTCTGGGTACCCTCTGACCAGGTCCTTCACACCCGCAGATATGAAGACGTTACCAGTCCAGGCGAAAGACTCTCGTCTCCACATTCGCACTCCACCCCCCATCCCTGCTGCCTTCCTTTCCTAATCTGCAAATTTGAAAGCAATGTCAATGAACAGCCTCCTCTAAAGATGATTTCCAAGCTTTCCAAGGCGCAAGATCTCTCCAAAGGAGGCAATTTTAGGAAGCTAGCGGGTCGAAAGCGGCCGGGTTGCGCTGCGCACCCACATCTCTTTCTCTCGTGTCAGTCTCTGCTGTAGCTAGTGCGCCTCTACAGCGTCCCAGCTACTTGCTTTAAAGTGTTAACCAAATGGGGCCGGCGTGCTGGGGGCCCGCTCTGCTCCCGCCGGCCGCGCCATCCTGGAACCCAGCCGACCCTGGCGGCGCGTCTCCGCCGAGATCCCCAGACCCCGCGTCTCAAGTATCCAGCCCGCCACAGTAGACCCGAACCCTGTCTTCGCTGAGCCCGCCCGAAACTCACCAGCCCCACGGGACCCGCCCACCTCCCGCCGCCAAGCACTGCCGGCCTGGCTCTCCGGAGCTCTCCCCGGACCCCACCCCTAGCTCGCCCACGTCAGCCCCATTCAGTCGCAGACCCCCGGCCCGCGTGGTCTTCCCTCTCCACCTCCCAGGAGGTGTCAGTACCGATGCCATGGATGAAGATGAAGCCGGTGACCAGGAGCACCGGGTGCCAGTTAAACTCTAGCCCGGTGCCGTCCCAGCCGAGCCCCTCCCGGTAGTGGAGGACCCAGATGAGGGTGAATATCACCGACAGGAAGCCGACAAACAGCGCGGACACCAGCAGCCCCAGGAAGCCTCTGTAGCCGTCCATGGCCATCAGTGCCCATGCTCCGCGCCGCGGCAGCCACCAGAACTCCGGGAGGCGGCTGCTGGCTCTGGGTACTACTCTGGCGATGGACGCGCTGGGCGGTGACTTCTTCGAGCAGTCTCCCATTGGAGGCGGGGCCCGCTGCCTGCAAGGGACGGGCCTCCTGGGGGTGGGCACTGCCTCTAGCTCGGAAATGGGTCCCACCCCGGCAATCTCTCGGCAGTAAGAGTTCTTATTGCTCCAGGCCGACTCACTGACTTAGGCATCAGAGGTTGTTGAGGGCTTAAGTAACTGTTATGGTGGTGTTCAGAGTATTTACTTGGCATTTCTTTCTCTGAACAAATCCTATGCCTCTTATTTGTAGCTGTAGCGCTGTAAGATAAGCACTGGACTTCTAACCACAAGGTTGACAGTTCAAACCCACCAGCCGTTCCTTGGAAACCCTGTACTGGGTCCCTGAGTAGAAATTTGATAGCACTTACAACAACAAAGAAGTCTCAGCTCCTGACTTCTCCCTGTAAGCATCTCTGTCCACCTTAAAATTCATCTCAGAAATCTAGAAACTGCCCCTTAGTTAGCCCTGACTATTCCACACTTCCACAGACCTCCCCATCTGCTGCCTCTCTCATCACTTACCAGATAGAATTTAGTGATGTGTTTCTGTGGCTGTCACCCCTTTTCAGGTGGCCCCTTGAAGAATATTAACTCCAATTTACCATTCATTCCTCTACGGTATGTAGTTATTCAGTAAATGTTTGTTTAATGGGAGACTGTGCCTATCTGGATTTTGGCAGGAAACAAATGGTAAGCTTCAATTGGGCAATTTAATAAAAAACAGAACTCTTTACAAAGTGTGAGGAAATCACAAGGGCGATTGTTATGGCCAGGCCTGAAGGAAAAAGAGTTACTAGAAACCAGAGGAAGAGAGAGAACTGTGTGGAGAGGATAGTTGGGCAGCTGCTATGACCTTGAGTTGAGTAATACTGCATGTCCAAAAGGAGAAGGACAGATATTCCAACCTGTGCTTTATTGGCCATGCAAAGGCTTTTGACTGTGAGGATCATGACAAACTATGGATAGCATTGTGAAGAATGGGTATTCCAGGGCACTTAATTGTGCTCGTGAGGAACCCGTACATAGACCAAGAGGCATCTTTTGAACAGAACAAGGGAAAACTGACTTAAAATCAGGAAAGCTGTGAGTCGGGTCCCCTCAGTGCAAACCCCCTTCCAAGACTAAGACTCAATGAGAATACACGCTGTGAATGGTGACCACGCTCAACACCAATAAAGGGAAG